GATAAACTGAATGCAATAGTGAATTAAACGTTGATAATTGTAGACTATTTGTAATCCTAGTTTAATAATAAGCTGCAATGCAACAAATAATAACATGATCAGAGTGGTCATTGAAATTGCGGGTCGCATAATAAGTGATACCACTGCTAACCAATAGGTTGCATGAAACTCTCGTATCATTATATGATCGAAAAAATTCGAAATAAATATTGTTTTGTCAAAAACTCTTTGATCTTTGTTTCGAATTTTCTTGATCATATAATGATACAAGAGTTCATGCAACCTATTGATTAGCAGTAGTGGCACTTATTACGTAATCTGCAACTTCAATGACCACTCTGGTTAGGGTGTTACATGCCCTATAATTTACAAACATAGTGCAGCACTATATGAGTGATGGTCTGTGAAAACCTGTAAATCAATTCACTAAACAGAAATGACCCCTGATTAGTCAGACTGTAAAAATAAATTTTAACTGTTCTAGTCACTTAAAATTATGTATTTATCAAATGTAATTCATTTTTACAGTCTGATTCATCAGGGGTTGTTTCTGTTTAGTGAATCGATTTACAGGTTTTCACAGACCATCACTCATATGATAAATGCACTATGTAAGATTTTTGAAATTTTGTCGATCATTTTATAAGAAAAATTCAATATAGTAATTTTATAATTAAATCGATGTATTTTTAAAATATAATTACTTCTGTTCTAATGAAGCAAATTCAATTCTGTAACTTGTAAATGAAACATTGAGAATACAGTTTTAAAACTATGTGAAGACATTTTCGAATTTATTTTATTAATTTCAATAAAATTATAAATTAGTAAAATTTAATAAGAAAATATTCATTATTTATATAGCGACCTACTAAAATTTGCATATTAATATTAAATATTGCAATATAGTTTTAAAACTATATCGTTGAATTATCATTTACAATTTACAGAATCGAATTTTCTTTGCTAGAACAGAAGTAATTACATTTTAAAAATGCATCGATTTTATTATAAAATTATTATGTTGAATTTTTCTTATAAAATGATCGACAAAATTTCAAAAATCTTACATAGTGCATTTATCATATAGTGCTGCACTATGTTTGTAAATCATAGGGCATGTAACACTGCACACTCTGGTAATGTCAAATGCAGACGTGATTGTATGGATTTTCTTGTTTAGATAAAAGTTGCATAAATAAAGGTATGTAATTGGATTAATTGACAAGCTATGATCACAGCACTTAGTTCACCTTCATACTTAAGTGTAAACATGATTATATGAGTTTTTTTGTTTAGAGTGAAAGTTGCATAAATAAAAGGTATGTAATTGGAATTTAAAATCGGTAATAATTGTAGCTTATTATTAAACTAATGATTAATGGACAGGCTATAATTATTAACGTTCAGTTCCTTATCGCATTTGTTTCAATACTAAGTGCTAGCATAATTGTATAAATTTTCTTGTTTAGGTAAAAGTGTATAAATAAAAGGTATGAAATTGGAATTCAAAATTGTTAATAATTGTAGCTTACTACTAAACCAGAATCAATGAACAGGCTACGATCATTAACATTTAGTCCCTTTTGCACTTGTTTCAACACTAAGTGCTGGTGTGATTGTATAGATTTTCTTGTTTAGGTGAAGTTGCATAAATAATAAAAAGTAAGTAAAGAAAACTGAGGTGAAGAAACAAGACAAATGTAGTTACTTACCTGCGTATTATTTTGAACTTATGCGTGTTATTTATAGGCATTATCTTGAAACAAAAATAAGAGTAGCTTTGCTAATAATTAATTTATTCAAAATTTTTTATTTAGAGTATACATTATTTTGAAACGTGAATGAGTGTTATTTTGAAACTATTTATACTATTCTCATCACCAGAGCTGGTGTACTTACAAATAGAGATATTAAAAGTTTAGTCTAATACGACTCGACTCAATAAAGTTGAGTCTTAATTTAGACTCGGTTCCAAGTCAGACTTGAGACTGAAGTCCTTATAGGCATGTAAAATCTATAATTATTACATAGTGTTACTACGAATAAGAAGTGTTATTATATGTAATATTGCATTATTATTGATGACATATAATAATTACAGATTTCACATAACGATAAGGACTTTGATCCCAAGTCAGACTCAGGACCGAATCTAAATTAAGAAGATTTATCCATTTGCATATTGATATTATTATTATTCTTTTTAAATTAGTATTAAAAAACAGGTTTAATTAGTTTGCATTATGTAAATAATTGTATAATAAAGTTTTGTTTATTTTCTTTCAAATACATACATTAAAAAAAAAATTATTTCAAATATAAAAGTTACTTATTTTTCATCAACGACTTTCAATATTGAACTAATTTATAATTTAAAAAAAAAATGAAATAAAATCATCTTTTCATCACCATGTCTGCTAAAACAATCGATTCTTCTGAAAATACCAAATTGAAAAATAAACGAAAAAAAAATCCCGCACTTATTTACAATTACCTTGATACGCTTGAAGATGGCACTCGTATTTGTAAAGTTTGTGAAAAAAATAAAAGTAAATGGGGTTCACTTACTTCGTTAATGCCAATAACATGCCATTTTAAAAAAAAACATCCAAATACTTTTAAAGAATTTGGAAAATCTGCTGCAAAATTTGTTCGCCCTTCTCCGTATTCAATTGCTGATAAGAATCGCGTAGAATTATTAGACCGTAATCTATTAGAGTTCATTATTATTAGTCAACAGCCTTTTTCTCTCTTGGAAGAGAATTATTTTAATAAATTTGTTTCTGCTCTTGACCTACGTTACAAGGTTCCCTGTTATCAATCTATGTCTAAAAATATTAAAAACCTATTCGAGTTAGAAAAAATAAAAATAAAAGACCTTTTAAAAAATAATAAAAGTAAATTAGCCCTTACCCTAGATGTATGGACTGCATGTACTCAGCAGCCCTTCCTTGGAGTTACTAT